TTATTTATTAATTTATGTTTTATTTAAACTAGAAACAAGCTTGTTTCACATGTCAATCACAGCTCCCTTTCCCTCCCCTCCTCCCCTGCTCCCACTAGCTCCCCCAACCCCCACCCAATCGCCACTCTACTCTCCAGGGAGGGTGAGACCCTCCATGGGGGATCTCCAGAGTCTGTCATATCATCCAGGGCATGGTCTAGGCCCTCCCCTATGCATCCAGGCTGAGAGAGCATCCCTCCATGTGGAATGGGCTCCCAAAGTCCACTTGGATGCCAGGGATAAATACTGATCTGCTACTGAGGCCCCAAAGAATGCTGAGACCCCCAAATTTAGGGGGGTCTGGATCAGTCCCATGCTGGACTCTCAGCCATCATTCTGGAGTCCATGAGCTCCCCCTTGTTGAGGTCAGCTGTTTCTGTGGGTTTCACCAGGGTCTTGACCCCTTTGCTCATCACTCCTCCCTCTCTGCAACTGGGCTCCAGGAGTCCAGTTCAGTGTTTAGCTGTGGGTGTCTGCCTCTGCTTCTGTCAGCCACTGGATGACGGCTCTAGGATGGTATACAAGTGAATCATCAATCTCATTATAAGGAAAGGGAATTCAAGGTAGCCTCTACACTGTTGCTTAGATTGACAGTAGGTATTATCCTTATAGATCTCTCCTCAAACCTATTATGACTCCCTCTACTATGGTATCTCTCATCCTGCTCTCCTCTATTCCTCCCCCGACTCAACCTTCCTGCTCCCCCATGCCCTCTTATCCTCTTCTCTTCTCCCCCTCACTTTTCCCCAGCTCCCTCTCACCTCCCTCATGCTCCCAGTTCACTCAGGAGATCCTGTCCCATTCCCTCTCGCTGGGGTACCATGCATATTTCTCTTAGGGTCTTCCCTGCTTCTCAGACTTTCTGGTGGTAGGATTGTAAGCTGGCACTCCCTTGCTTCATGCCTAAAACTTATATATGAATAAGTACATACCAAAGAAAGAAATTAAAGAAGATACCAGGAAATGGAAAGAGCTCCCATGCTATTGGATAGGTAGGATCAACATAGTAAAAATGGCAATCTTGCTAAAAGCAATCTACAGATTCAACACAATCCCCATCAAAATACTGGTACAATTCCTCATAGACATTGAAAGAACAATTATCAACTTTATATGGAAAAACAAAAGACCCAGGATATCCAAAACAACCCTATTCAACAAAGCAACATCTGGAGGCATCACCATCCCTGACTTCAAGCTCTGTTATAGAATCATAGTCCTGAAAACAGCTTGGTATTGGCAGAAAAATAGATAGGTAGACCAATGGAATTGAATTGACAACCCTGATATTAACCCACACACCTATTAGCACCTGATTTTTGACAAAGAAGCTAAAATTATACAATGGAAAAAAGAAAGCATCTTCAACAAATGGTGCTGGCATAACTGGATGCAGGCATGTAGAAAACTGTAGATAGATCCATGTCTATTGCCATGCACAAAACTTAAGTCCAAATGGATTAAAGACCTCAACATAAATCAAGCTACACTGAACCTCCTAGAAGAGAAAGTGGGGGGTGCTTTTGAACTAATTGGTCTAGGAATCTGCTTCCTGAACCTAACACCAGTAGCACAGACACTGAGATCGACAATTAATAAATGGGACCTCCTGAAACTGGAAAGCTTCTGTAAGGCAAAGGACACAGTCAACAAGACAAAATGGCAGCCCATGGAATAGGAAAATATATTCACAAACCCCATATCTGACAGAGGGCTGATCTCCAAATGTAAAAAGAACTCAAAAAACAAGTCTCCAAAACAGAACTAAATTGAGGAGTCTAAAATGGCTGAGAGACACTTAAGAAAGTGCTCAACATCATTAACCATTAGGGAAATGCAAATCCAAACAACTCTGAGACACCATCTCACTCCTGTCAGAAAGGCTAAAATAAAAAACACCAATGAGTTTGTGCTGAAGAGGATGTGGAGAAAGGGGAACACTCCTCCACTGCTGGTGAACTCGTACAGCCACTTTGGAAATCAGTATGGAGATTTCTCAGGAAAATGGGAATCAGTCCACTGCAAAGTCTAACAATTCCACTCTTAGGCATATACCCAAAAGATACGCATTTATACAACAAGGACATGTGGTTCTGGCTATTACAAATAATGCTGCTATGAACATTCCTACACTGCTGGTGGGAGTGCCAACTTGTACAGCCACTTTGGAAATCAGTATGGAGATTCCTCAGAAAAATAGAAATCAGTCTACCACAAGACCCAGCAATTCCACTCTTAGGCATGTCCACATAAGATGCACATTCATACAACAAGGATGTCTGTTCCACTATGTTCATAGCAGCATTATTTGTAATAGCCAGAACCTGGAAGCAATCTAGATGCCCCTCAACTGCAGAGTAGATAGAGAAAATGTGATACATTTACACAATGGAGTACTACTCAGCAGAAAAAAAAAAAACCGGAATCTTGAAATTTGCAGGCAAATGGATGGCACTAGAAGAAACCATTCTGAGTGAGGTAACCCAGTCACAAAAAGTCAAACATGTTCTTAAGTGGAGGGATTGGAACACCAACCCAACCACAAAACCTTGGACCTACAGTTTGTCCTGCCTTCAGAGTGTTCTGGGACTGGAGTCTAGCTGAATCATTATTAAACAGCCCAATTAGCCTTCATTCAGCAACTGATGGGAGCAGATTTCCCCTAAACAAACTTAAGGTGTAACTCCAGGAGTCCTATAGAGGAAGGAATTCTGGAACTAGAGGGGTCAGAGATACCACAAGAACATTGTACCAATCAACTGACCAGGACTCATGGGAACTCAGCCTCTAGCAGTCTGACCTACGGCCTCTCTACATATATCCTGTGGGATTCCTAACAGTGAAAGCTGTCTCTGATTCTTTTGCCTACTTTTGAGACCTTTTGCTACTGCTGTGTGCTTTCTCCAGCTTTTATGTGATGGTATGGGCTGGTATTATTGTAGCACATCATAATGCATTTGGTTGATGTCTCTGGGAGGCCTGCTCTTTTCTGAAGGGAGATGGGGGGTAGTCTGTGGGAGAGAGGAGGTCAGGCAGAGACTGGAGGAAGGGGAGGGAAACTGCAGCAAGGATGTAATATTTGAGAGAAGAATTAAAAAACAAAGAGATGATATCCTATTTTACACACAAATATCCAACCAAAACTGGCCTGTCAGATTTATTCTTACCTGTAGTATACTGGAAAAATAAATGCTAAATTTCAATCTGATGTGGGAAGTCCTGTGATTATGTCAATAAAGCACTGTTGGCCAATAGTAATCTAGATATGTGGGACTAGGAGTCCAGGAGGACTCTGGGAAGGAGAAACACAGAGAGTCAAGATGTAACGCCATGGGGTAGGAAGCCCGGAAAGTTCTCCGGTAAGAGAAATGCTTAGATTAGCAATTATGGGATAATTACTTAAGTGAGAGATAGCCAGTAAGAAACAAGCAAGGCCAAGAGCTTCATAATTAATACAGCGTATTGTGTGTTATCTGGGGACTACAATGTGGCAGAGCCCAGGCGACTGGCGGGTGATAAACCAAAGTGGCTAGCAAGGAAAAGCCTCCCTTTACAAAATGGTGTCAGAAGTGGGATTGAATTTCCATGTAGAACGACAAAAGCTTTAAAGGAATTTTAGAAACAGAAGAACGGAGAGAAGCACAGATTTTTGGTAGCAGCATTTTCTCAGGTGGGCTCTGTTTTGCTAGCAGCAAGCAGAGACTTGCGGCTTGCTTAAGGCAGTCATCCTGACTCAGCATTAAAAAAAAACAGCAAGGTTCTTTGTATATGTCAATAAAGCACTGTAAACCTTTAGAGGTTTTGTTCATCCGAGTCTTACTTTACTGTAAATCTTTATGTTTTTCTGGTCATGTGTCTTGTCTGTTAAAACCGCGGCTGTTTTAAACTGCTGTTTTTTCCAAGATGGCGAGCGTAAGTGTGATTCCAGCTGCTGGCATGGAGATGTGGTCACTGCCACTTCAATCAATGAAAATAATGCAGTTATTAGCTAGAATCTTAAGGCTGCTTGATTTTTTACAAGGATCAAACTCGATACAGAGCTGAGGATGCATCTCAGTGTCTAACAAGCATAAGGTCCTGAGGTTGATTCCCAACATCAAGAAAGGAAAAAAATCATTATATATACAGACATATTAAAGTCATTATAGGTATTTTTAAACCTTTCACAACTAAAATTTTACTGGTTGAAGAGCAGAGTACACAGACATTTCAATTGTTAACCCATGTACCCAATCTCTAAAGAGTCATATGTTGTGTTTATGTACCCAAAAGAGACACGTTTTTCTCTTTGAACTTATTCTAGTGATGCTCCATCCAAACTTATCAAGTTTTACCTAAGACCTAACATAACACTCATATGTGCATGACCCTCAATTCCACTGACTCACAATTTTATGCCACATACAGTACTTACTCAAAATTCCCATCGTTCACAGTATATTATCACAGTTGTTAGGAAAATGGACTGCCATGAGCAGAGACAGTTCTGACAGGGCAAGGACCCAGAAGTGGTGTTTTAGGAAACAGTTCTACTAGAAATATGAGACCAGATATAACTGAAAATATTGCAGACACAAGTGTATATGACCGAGACTCTGAATTACCATTTCACATGCTTTGTGTTGTAGGATATTAAACTAGCCCCCTCTACGGAATGTTACAGTGACCTTTGAGACAGTTACAGCCTCTCCTGATTCAGCATCCTATTTTCTGGTTGTTCCAAAAAATAAACAAGGAGCAAATGATTTGACCTCTTAAAAAATCATTTACACATAAAAAATAGGATTAGGTGAGATTTTTCCTCACCTTTTAAAGCACTTCTAGAGCTACTAAAAAACTTGCATTTACCAAATGTTTGATAAAAATATTTCTCTGGACTGTGCACAAAGGGAGGCAGGGACCACTGACAGACACGATGGATGGTTAGTCGGACTTGGCTTCTTTCGCTTCTACTTCAGAGGCTAGTTTTCTGTCTCTCCATTTTCTATAGGCAGATCTATGTGTCTGTATTTTGCTGGCCAGCCACTCCAGCCCTTTCCTTTTGTTTGCACCTTTATGTCTGATGATTTATCCCTTCTCGCGGCCTTTTTTGGCTTCATGTCCACTTTGGCCCCAGCGGGCCTGGCCAACAGCCTCACCGAGTTGTTCTTGGGCTTCGCCTTGGTGGCTCTGCCTGTGCTAACCTTCCTCTTGGGCATCCCGGCAGTGCTGGTGGGAGGCACCGGTGAGGCGAACCTATCACGTAGCAGTGGTGCCTAGCTGCCACCACATGAAATACTGCAACCTGAAGTCATTATTGCTTATTTCAAAAATTTTAATAAATATTATTTAAATTAGACAAGATCTGGCATGTTCAGGATGGTATGGCGGCAGACAAATTTTATTTAAATTAGAAACAATCTTATTTTACCTATCAATCCCAGTTCCCTCTCCCTCCTATCCTCCCTGCTCCCCACCGAACTCCCCCATCTCATCCCCTGATGGGGAACCTGGGTATATGTCAATAAAACACTGTTGGCCAATAGGTAAACAAGAGAGGTGGGACTAGGAGTTGAGGAGGATTCTGGGAAAGAGAGACACAGCAGAGACAATGTAGCCCGCCAGAGAAGTAAGATGTCTGGACCCTTTTCTCTGGTAAGAGAAATACTTAAATTAACAATTATGAGTTAGCCAGTAAGAAACAAGCAAATGGCCAACAGCTTCATAATTAATATAGCCTCCTGTGGCAGATCCCAAGCGGCTGGCGGGGGAAAAACCAAAGCGCTGGTGGAGGAAAACTACATGTTACAATCCCCCATCCACTCCCCAGGGAGGGTGAAGCCTTCCATGAAGGATCATCAAAATCTGTCACGTCATTTGGGATAGGGTCTAGGCCCACCCCTGTGTATTTAGGCTAAGAGAGTACCCCTCTATGGGGAATGGGCTTCTGAAGTCTATTTTTGCACAAGGGATACATGCTGGTTCCACTGCCAGAGGCTCCATAGACTGCCCAGGCCTCCTAGCTGACACCCACGTTCAGGGGTACTGGTTAGGTCCTGTATTGGTTCCCCAATTGTCAGTCTTGGGTCCGTGGGCTCCCCCTTGTTCAGGTCAGCTGGTTCTCTGGGTTTTCCCAGCATTTTCTTGACCCCTTTGTTTGTTACTCCTCCCTCTCTTCAACTGGATTCCAGGAGTTTGGCTCAGTGTTTAGCTTTGGGTGCCTGCTTCTGCTTCCACCAACTACTGGATGAAGGCTCCAGGATGGCATATAAGATTGTCATCATTCTCATTATAGGGGAAGAGCTTTTAAGGTAACCTCTCCACTATTTATTAGATTCCTTGTTGAGGTCATCCTTGTGGATGTCTGTATAATTCCCTAGTGCCAGATTTCTCTTTAAACCTATAATGGCTCCCTATATTGATGTGTCTCTTTTCTTGCTCTCCTCTATTCATCTCAGGATTCAATCTGAACTGACAGAAGTGTTTGGTTCTATTCTAGGTCTCTGGACCATCTGGCCTCTTGTTCCTAGTCTTCCAGGCAGTGTCATGGGTGGGCTCCCTTTTGTGGCATGGGTCTGAAGCTGAACCAGTCTTTAGTTGGCCATGCTCACAATTTCAGTGCCATCTTTACACCAGCACATCTTGTAGTCAGGACAAATTGTAGGTCAAAGTGTTTGTGGTTGGGTTGATGTCTCAGTCCCTCCCCTGGAAGTCTTGCCTGGTTGTAGGAGATGGTCCATTCAGGGTCCATATCCCTCGTTGTTAGGAGTCTTAGCTTAGGTCACCCTAATAGACTACTGGGAGTTTCCATTGCACTAAATTTCTACCTTGTCCCCCCTAATTCCAGTATTCCCTCCCAGTACTCTCTTCCTTCATCCTCCCCACACCTGAACCCTCCTGTGCCTGTGTTTCTTATGTGTCCCATTCACAGTTTTCCAGACAAAGCCTTAAGGACAATAAGTACTCTCCGAGAATGTTAACAGTTGAGCTAGCGCTACATAGTACAAAAACTCACGTGTTAGAATTAGAAGTATATTCTGGCTCACCTCTCATTATATGAACAAACTTGAGGTGACTATAAATACCCTGTGTCAATATCTTAGCCTATGTCTTCCTACCTGTAATGTTGTAATAAATCCTTAAATGTTTATGCATGTGCATTAAACTGTCTGATGTTTTTGAAGGCCAAAGTTAGTGGCTAAAAATAATACTTTCTCTTGCTTTTCTCTTGCTTTTAGCCATGAACATATTAGCTTCAATTGCATTACTATCAGCAGTTGGACTCCTACAACACCGGGATTGGAGGCTGTAGAAGTGACTGATGATGGGTGTGCTTTGGTAGAGGAAGGTGGAAATAATTCTGTGTTCTAGTAGGTGGAGAGTTCTGAAAGGAGTGGGTGTGTTATTATGGATTAAGCTTGACTAGTATGAGGTCGGATAAGAACTCCTGACAGGGAGGATAGTACTTATTTTCACATGTGGTGTAGTGGTTTTAAGTGAGTCATTTTAGTATGACATCTTTGGATGTGTTCTATAACAAAAAAAAAACCACCAAATTTGCTTTTGTAAAGGGTCCATTAATGGTCAAAACTGGCATTGTCTTTGGGATGGACCTCAGGGTGCATTTGGATAATGTGAATGTGAAGAGCCAGGGTAAGCCAGTCAGGGTTCTTTCTCTAAAGAAACAGAAGTGACAGAACAAATATATACTATGACAGAGTTGCATTAGATTAGCTTACATAATAGGAACTGGGTAGTCTAATAGTGGCCACTGAGGTGCAGGAGACACTGAGAGATCTATAGATTCTTTGTTCATGAAGCTGGATGCCTTAGCCATTGAAATCATATGTGGAAAGCCTATATGATTCTTGGAGAGCCATCCACTGATGCTAATCCATGCTGGAAGACAGAAGAAACTGTTCTGATGGTATCAGAAGATGGCAGTAGCTCCAGCATCGACAACTAGACAGATGACTCATCAGCAAGAGGTAAATGCAGGAAAGCGAATAGCACTGCCTCTCCTGGCCTCTTTATATCTGGGTATCTACAAGAAGGTGATGCCTACTCTTGGGGATGGCCTGCTCATAGTTAATTTTTCCTGGGAATTCCCTTACAGCCTCACCCAGAGGTGTGTCTCTTAGTTGATTCAAGAGCCCATCAAGTTGACAAAAACAACAGTCACAGTGTGACTCAAAGCATCAAGAACAACAGCTATATGCATTTTAACAACACAAAGTTTTAATGTTTATCTTAGGTCCTTTCAATCCCAAGACAGCCTTATCATATCAAATATCAACAGGTTTCATTTAGAAACATGTATGTATATACAAATACATATATGCATGCAATAACAACAGATGAAAAGGAGGCTATGGATTTGAAGGAGATGGATTTGAAGGAGATCAGGGATGGGTACATGGGAAGGTTTGGATGGAGGAAAGGGAAGGGAAAAACATAGCAATTAAATGTCAGTCTCAAAAACAAACATCTGCTCTTAGTGCTGAATAAGCATCCCACACATTCTGCCTTGGAAAAGGACTCTGCCATTGAGAAGGCATGCATAGTTCTTTCACCACTCAAGAAATCACAAGTGAACCTGGGGATAGCACTGTGTCTACAGCTACCTTCCCAGAGATGCGTAACAGTGGGTCTGCTCTCCCTGGCACATGGCAGTATCCCCTGGATTGGTAGTGTTCTGAGATTTTGAGCTTGTGAAACAGCATGGCTGATTTAGCACTGAGTTGGCCTCGAGCAGTTATTTCCCTGTAAAGGGCTGCTGCTGAAGAATTGCTCCCTTTTCCCTGTTTTACTGATGCACATCACTGCTGTGTGTGAATGCAGCCAAGCACTCAGTGCTCACTAACTGTGAGTTTCAGAGTCCTGTAAATCCTTTGCTTGATAAACTATAACAGGTAGACAAGACAGATGCCCTGGAAGGGGGATAGTATCCAGCACGCTGGAGGGAAAGCATTCTGGACTATGTCAGCATGCAGAGAAGTTCTGCTTAGGAGACGATTTCCTAGACCTTGAATCCTATGGTTTCATTGTTTAAAATGTTGTACAGGAATGTCTAAAGTTTAAGAGATAAAACAAGAAAAGAAATATGGATGTATATATATATTTTAAAGTTTTCATTTATTTAGTTTCTTAGGTGTGTGTGTGTGTGTGTGTGTGTGTGTGTGTGTGTCACAGTGCACATATGGAGGTCTGAGTTCAACTTGGAGAAGTCAGTTCTCTATTTCCACCATGTGAGGCCTGAGCATTAAACTCAGGTCATAGGTCTTGGTGACAAGCACTTTTATTCATCAGACAGTGGCTATGTATTTTATCTTTGTTATTCTTTAATGGTGATATTCTCAGTGGCAGCTTTGCTGTCGCTAAATATGGATTTAAGGAGCAGAGTAAGATGGCCATCACCAGGAGACATATAGTATATTTTTAAAAATAACCAGCATAGGACACTGGATTTATAGGGTTACAACTGAGAAAGCAAGAAAGTGAGAGTTTTTTGAAGGGAATAAGTTTAACTGTCAACCCCTACCTGTATGTGTTACAAGCAGTTCTTGGTACGATATCAATCCCAGAGTTGTGTGTCATAATCCTGTTGGGTAAATAAAACACTTGGCTATGAAAAGTCATGTGACTTTTATGTGGAGAAATAAAAATGACCTATCGTTTACTATAAATTGGGATGCAGCTATCATGGGAAACAAATACTGGGCAAAGAAATAAAACACAACATAATATATGGGCACCATTTTTCACACTTAGGTCTTTTGAGGAATTTGACTTTGAAGGAAAATGGAGATAAAATCCAGAACTTAGAGCTAACTCTAGTAATTTGTATATTAAAAAAAAGTTAATGCACATTTCAAACTCCATAGAAATAGTGACTCTTTTCTTTATTCCTTCTGTTAAGTGGGGAACCAGTCTGTATGGGACTTGCATTTAAACATACCAAAAATTCAAAAGCATAAAACACCAAACATATATTCTGGATCAGATGGAAATTTTATTTTGTCTGTCTGATGAAAAAGTGTAATCATTGAAGTAGTTCTTGTGTACTGATTGTAGTGTCCAACAGAGGACAAGGACAAGTTGTGCATTCCTAGCCCTGATCTTTTCAAGCTTTTCATACTTTTACCTCTGAAGCACCTCCAGGCATTTACACATTCATTTATTCTCACACTCACACTTTGCGTGATAAATATTAGCTTAG